CAGGGCAGGGCAGAGTGGGCTAATATTTTAGAAGAGAGATGAAGGTGATGGTAGGGCTTGTTGCTTGAGCTTGTGAGCAGTTACAGAGATCTGGCATCATGAAAAGTGGTGAAGAAGACAGTTTAATACAGCACCCCTGGAAGAGACCCTTTCCTTCTGGCTCTCAACTTTCCATGATGATACGATTCCCAGGAGCTCCAGAACAAGGAATAATTATGTTTGAACTCAGAGAAAGCAATAGATTTTCCTCTCGTGACTCCTTCCTTCCCCCAACAAGACAGTGAGTTGACAGATGTTTGGAACCAGCTGTGTGCATGGCATGAGTAGTAGTTGGGAACATTGTGTTCCACACCTACTCATCATGTTCAGTTGGGTGAGAGAGTGTCTCTCTCTCTCTCTCCCTCTCTCTCCCTCTCTCTCTCTCTCTCTCTCTCTCTCTCTCTCTTGTGCGCACGTGTGCTCTCTCTCGGTCTTGCTCTGTGTGTGAAATTTCTGTTTGAAAGAGTTTTGACACAGTCTAAGAGTACAGGGTAATGGGTATGTGGGATATTTTTTCTTAGACAATCAAATCTTCCCAAACAACAAACAAGCAAAACCGCAAACCAAAATACTTACTACTAATAGTAATAATAAATCCTGTCTCTTGCTTAGCTCTCTAGTCTTGTTAGATTAAAGTAAGTGGATTAATTACTTTCATTGACGTAACCAAATCCCTGGCAGAAGCAACTCAAGGGAGGAAATATTTATTTTGGCTCACAGTGTGAGGTTTGGTGCACAGTTGCTGGCCCCATGCACTTGAAGGAAAGGCTTTGTGGTAATGGGAGCATGTTCACTTCATGGCAGACAAGAAGCAGAGAGAGTGAGGCAGGGACAAAACCTTTCCTTCAGCAGTTTACTAGTTACTTTTCTCATTGCTGTGGCAAAATCCTCGACCAGCAATCTAAGGAAGAAGGGGTTTACTCTGGTGCACACTCTGAGGGAATACAATCCATCCTGACAGGGAAAGCATGGTGGCAGGGGCAGGAGGCTGCTGTGCTGATCATACTGTATTCATAATCAAGAGGCAGAGTATCCATCGAGGCGCCATCTCCTAAAGGTTCTATAACCTTCCCAAACAGTGCCACCAGTTGTTCAAACACATGAGCCTGTGGGGTGGGGGGGGGCATGTCACATTCAAAACACATCAGAAGCCCGGTGATTTACACCGTTCAGCTAAGCCCCACTTCTTAAAGTTGTCACAGCATCCCAAAGGTTGAGAAGCCAAGGGCTATTTGGGTATTGTCTGACTCTGTAATTTCAGATGTGATTCAAGGACAAGCAGATTATTTAGCTTAAGCCAGATTTCACTTTTTGATAAATTGTCTAGCTGATAGTTAAATAATACCTCCATCTACTAACATGTTTCTTTTAGGGGTTAAAAAAAAAAAAGAATGAGAGGCTCCTATACATGAATTTGTCCAGGTAACTAAATCAAATCATGATTTGGGACTGAAGTACTAGCCATGTTGACCATCTACTTGTGGGCCTGTTACCTTTTTGGTAGCTCAGTCATAAGTAGTATTCATTTATTCATTCCTCACACAAGTATTTATCAAGTATTTATGTATTATATTTTAGTTTTTATTCAATTACTTATTTGTTTAAAATGCAAGTGCCCATATCCCACCTTAGTCCTGTTGATTCAGAATTCACAAGGGGTCTGGTCCAGAAATATTTATTTAGTGATGGGTGCTGGGGATGGAGCTCAGGGCCTCATCCATACTAGACATCTCCGACCCCAGAAATGTGATTTGTAAGTAGCCTGTTTTAGGTGTTCTCTGGAAATCCAATGATGAGCCTATTATATGTGTGACTAGGTAAGCTCCAACAGCAATTTGTCTCTGCTGCAGCATGACAGGTACTGGTACCCAGGTGGGGGAGGGGTTTCCTCTCCTTTCAGGTATTGCTGAGGCAGTTGGTATTCTGTTTGCTTTGTATCACATTGGCCACTGAGAAACGTTCCATTTCCTGTAGAATGTGCCTGATGCTATGCCAGGACAGTGAGCATCAGATGTGGAGTGAAGCATACGCCTTGTCTGGCACTGACCTGCTGTAGTAGTCACAAGTGGACAGGAAGACAGGGACAGAGGGACATCTACGCCCTTGTCAACACTCTCCCTCCTTCCCTCCCTCCTCCCCGTCTTTCTTCCTTCTAGCATGGTCAAACTCACTCTGTAGCCAAGGGTGACAGTGAATTTCTGATCCTCGTGTCGTTACTTCCAAAGTGCTAGAATTATGGGCATACAGCATCATACTCAGTTTATGCAGTGATGCTGAGGATTGAATCCAGGGCGTCATTCATGTTAGGCAAGCATTCTACCAACTGAGCTACATCCTAGCCCAACACTCATCATTTCTGATGAGGCTCTTGTAGGTTCCCTTTGCTAGTGTTCAGAGGGCAAAGCCTCACAGTAAGGGAGTTGGAAAGTTCATTGGGTTTATACCCAGGAATGGCTGGCAATGTAGTTAGCCTCTCTGAACCTTGTTTTCCTCATTTATATGAGGCAAATGTTAGTATCTATATTATGGAGTTGTTTTGAGAATTATATGAAATAATATATAGTGTGTAAATTGCTTAGCACTGTCCCTGGCCTGTAGTCAATGCTAATGAGTGGTATTTATTTATATTAATAGTAATAATTATGGACCTTCAAAGTGTGTCCAGGAGTGGATCTCCCCCAGGCTACCAATGCCAGCCTCCACATTTAGCCACTGTATGCTCTGCCTCAGTTATCTTGTGGTCTATGACATTGTTCTAGGAGTACTGCGTACCTGAGACTTGGGGTAGTGATATTCAGTCTAAGTCCATTCTTTCTAGCTAAGGTTGGTTTTGTAAACATCTTCAAGTCATGTGAACACTTCTTCCTGATCCCATCAGGGCACGTGCTCATCACTACCAATTCTACTGAGATGTGTCAATTTGAGAGGAAGGACTAAAGCAGCATGGATATGGGCACTGCCATAGAGGCTTTGTTAAAATAGGCATGCCACCTCTCACCTTGGGCTTGATGACTCGTAATTTCTCTAGTGAGGCACTGGTAAACTTGTTTATCTTCCTAGGCAATGTGATACATCACCCTATTCAGAGTGATTGTCTTCCTGACTATGTTTTCCTGCTCAGCATTGGCTCTCTTTGCTAGTACAGAATGAAGTCTTCAAAAATTATCAGCAAAAATTAATGGTGTCCACCTAACTTTTCCATGCTCAAGATACTGCCCTTATGTGAAAGATTGAGAGCCCTGGGAGATAAGGACAAAAGGAAGAAATCTGTGCAAACTGGCTCCACTTCCACCTATAGTCCTGAGGTGTTAGGTCCTTAGCAAAATGTTAGGTACTTAGCAAAATGCTGTTCTTGTTTCTACTGACAGTTGTGTGTCTTGGTTAGGAGTCCCTAGCTCCTTGAATGACTATTTCCTTTTGAGATGGTGACTCAAAACCTAGGAATTAAGAAACCAACGGACTGGGAAGCATTTAGGAAATGTGACAAGAGGTATCATACACAGACTAGTTTCAGAAATGTCAAGAAAGGAAACACTGTGGACTCTGTTCATACTGGCCATTTACAAAGATGGGAAGAACAGTGAGTTCGAAGCTGGCATGGGAATGGGAAGTGATCTCCCAAGACCCAGTCAGTAAGTTTTTGAACAACACAGCGAGTCCTACATGACAAAAGCCTTTGACTTTTACCTCTGTTAACATTCATACTTGAGGTTTGGGGCTCCTAGTGCTCTGTAAAATTGAGTACAGTTACATTTTAAGAAACCCTGATAATGTCTGTGCTTCTACTGAGACTCAGAGCAGAGAATTGAGAAGACAGGAAACAAGAGACCCAATGGGGGATCTTCTGCCTTTCAGGGTTTCTTGAGAGTCTTAGAAAGTTTTCTCAGAACTAGGACTGGAGCAGAGGCCACCTGCTGGGGTCAAGACTCTGAAGAAAAGGTGCTGAATTCAAACAAGAATCTAAGAAATATTTAGTAGCAGCATCAAATGCTGTGTCACTGGTAGGGGCTAAAGACATCAGCTGGAGTTGAGGGTCAAGGTCATTTAGTTCTTAGTCCTCAGCCAGACTTGAGCCTGCACCTTGGGGCCCAAAGAGGTGTCTGTTCAATCCTAAACTGGAATTCCAGCTTACATGACTGCATGGAGCATTTTGATTTAGTGGTGTCTTAAGCCTGACAGTATTCCTTTAGGTCTAATGTGTATTCTGCTGACATTTCCTAACCTCCTAGACTTCATCCTGATCTGCCTGCTGCTCATCTGAAGAGTGCAGAGGCTGGTACCACTGACTGCTAACACCCATGGTAGGACATCTAGTACTCTTGGAAAGCCTTGCCATTTTCCCCCATGTTCCTGCCATTCTTATTAGAGAGGGCAAGGAAAACATCCTCTCCTTCTTGGCCAGCATCCTGCCTGTACCGAAAGATGTGTGGGTATGGGGGGGGTGTTTGAGGAGCATTTAAGTGGGGTAGAGTTTAACTTAAAATTATTTTTTTTCTTTTAATGTGTGAGATGCAATGTGCTAACGATACATGTACACAGTATGAAACGATCAAATCAGGGTAGTTAATTAACATTTCTATCTCCTTAAACATTAAATACTGTTTTGACTAACACATAACCTTGCACATTTGTGGGGTGCAGTGCGATGCTTCAGTGCATGCATACAGTATATACCGATGAAAACAGGGAGGTAAGTTTCCATGTAATTACTATTTTGTGGCGCTCCTCTTTTCTAGCTCTTCATAAAATAGCTGTGCCTCAACAAACACATAATGGTTTCAAGCAGTTTTGAGCTGGGCAATCCAAAAGTCAGGGTCCAGGGCTCCCTGGAATCTGCAGAAGGTTAGGACAAAACCACACTTTCCCTGAGGCAGGAATACAATGTCTGCAACACTATAAAGTATAGTTTAAAAGCTGGGTTTTTGCCTGAGCTTAGCTCCAAACTTGGCCCAAGACAGGAGATGCAGGTAAAGGACCAGAGACAGGCGCTGGGCCCTGCAGGTCGCTTCCCAGCCGTGATGATCAGCGGCCAGCAGGTGTCAGTGCGCCCTCGCTCTGTCGCGGCTCACAGCCCACGCCTCCAGGACCCTTCCTCACCACGGTCCAAGGGGGCGCGGTGCAGACCCCAGGTCGCAGGTGTCCCGCAGACAGCCGTATGGCTGAGAGGGCACATGGCCACCTCTTCCCCAAGTCTGACTCTGCTCTGGCCGGCTCACGCGTGGATACTGTCCGTTCTGCCCCAGGGGTTCCATAGTAACCTGCACCTTCTTCGCGCTACAGGATCCCATCCATCTCGGCCACCAGGAGCACCTGCGCTTGGCCCGGGAAGGGGCTGCTTTGCCTACAACCCTTAGTGAGGCTGCTTCTTCTGATTCGCGTCTGCGCTCCCAGGCACCCTTTCCTGCCAGAACCCAGCTAGATCTGTGCATTCCGGCGTGCCTGCAGTCTGCTGAGCCCGCCCGGAGCTGCAAGGCCAACTCCCAGCAGGGGCCGCTCCGCACTCCCTAGGCTCCCTCTAAAAAACCCTCGCTCAAGGTACCGGTCTTTCCCAGTGTCTAGTCCAGCCTGGGAGGCAGTACTCTCTGGGGTCCGAAGTGGGGCGCGGGCGCTAGACCTAGAGAGGGGAGGCGCAAGGGGCGGAGGAGGGTCGACTTCCCACGTGGGGGCTGACGCGGGCTGCTCGGCAACGCCGGCTTAATCCCGGGACTATAAAACGAGTCCTCCGTAGCGTCGCGGAGCAGCAGCGGCTCCCGCTTCTGTGCAGACGCCCAGCACCCGGCGCACGTCGCCGGGCTACCCAGCGCCTTTCCCCCACGTCCTGTGCTCTTGCTAAGACTCACGCTGTCCTCGGACCCCGGCTTGTCCAGCTGCTCTGGGCGCACGCCAAGCCCAGGGTTAGCAGCCGTCCCTGCCTCGGCTGTGGCTCCAGGAGAGCGGATCGCTCACCTGGTTCGGCCCTGAGGATTGGGGGGCGCCTTCATGCGGCCCCCACACCTTTCACTCCGCCATCACCGCCCGGGAGCTCTGTTTGCTGCGCCCCAGCCCCACCAGGGCGCGCAACTTTGGAAGTCCCGCGGTGCTCCAGGAGGAGGCAGAGTGCCCGGGTCCAGCCCAGCCCTCCTGGGGGCAAGCGAGAGAATCGGAAAACGCTTCGAGGACCTAAGGAGACAGAACTAGGACCCCGGAGCACGCGTCAACAGCCCTCGGCTACCTCTTGGGGTAAGACTTCTTGCTTTCGCTCAGCTCAAGAGTCAAGGTATAGATGTCTATTTAAATACATTTCTATAATTTCCTGACATCTTTCCAAATCATCAGGCCACCGATGATTTCTGTTTTCTGTCTTCTTGAAGAATAAATCCCTCTGTAACCACCAACGGCCCTACTTTCTCCTGCCGCTTAGAAATAAAACTTGGCGGCCGTGTTTAAGGAGCTCGGAGAGATAAGGCGCCCGGAAGGAAGGACAACCCGGTGCCAGTTTGTGGGAGTCAGCCCATGGACTATTAGTGGTTCCCCCAACTTGGGCCCGGGCTCCTTGCGGCCCTTTCCCTATGTGAGGCGCGGCGGGACGAGCTGGGCACGGGAGGAAGAGGAGGACCCACGGACGCGGGGCCGGAAGGCAGCTGGCAGCAGGCCCAGGAGAACCGGCGCCCGCGTTCATGTTCCGCCAGGAGCAGCCACTGGCCGAGGGCAGCTTTGCGCCCATGGGCTCCCTGCAGCCGGACGCCGGTAACACCAGCTGGAACGGGACTGAGGCTCCCGGGGGCGGCACCCGGGCCACCCCTTACTCCCTGCAGGTGACACTGACGCTGGTGTGCCTGGCTGGCTTGCTCATGCTGTTCACCGTGTTTGGCAACGTGCTGGTCATTATCGCCGTGTTCACCAGCCGCGCGCTCAAAGCACCCCAAAACCTCTTCCTGGTGTCTCTGGCCTCAGCGGACATCCTAGTGGCCACGCTTGTCATTCCTTTCTCGCTGGCCAACGAGGTCATGGGCTACTGGTACTTTGGCAAGGTGTGGTGCGAGATCTACCTGGCGCTCGACGTGCTCTTCTGCACGTCGTCCATCGTGCACCTGTGCGCCATCAGCCTGGACCGCTACTGGTCCATCACGCAGGCCATCGAGTACAACCTGAAGCGCACGCCGCGCCGCATCAAGGCCATCATCGTCACCGTGTGGGTCATTTCGGCCGTCATCTCCTTCCCGCCGCTCATCTCCTTTGAGAAGAAGGGTGCTGGCGGCGGGCAGCAGCCGGCGGAGCCCAGCTGCAAGATCAACGACCAGAAGTGGTACGTCATCTCGTCGTCCATCGGTTCCTTCTTCGTGCCTTGCCTCATCATGATCCTGGTCTACGTGCGCATCTACCAGATCGCCAAGCGCCGCACCCGCGTGCCGCCCAGCCGCAGGGGTCCGGACACCTCCTCCGCGCCTCCGGGGGGCACCGAGCGCAGGCCCAATGGCCTGGGCCCGGAGCGAGGCGCGGGCCCGGCGGGCGGCGAGGCGGAGCCGCTGCCCACCCAGCTTAACGGCGCCCTGGGGGAGCCGGTGCCGGCGGAGCCGCACGACCCGGACGCCCTGGACCTGGAGGAGAGCTCGTCGTCCGAGCACGCGGAGCGGCCCCCGGGGCCCCGCAGACCCGAGCGCACCCCCCGCGCCAAGAGCAAGTCCCGGGCGAGCCAGGTGAAGCCTGGGGACAGTCTGCAGCGGCGCGGCCCGGGGGCGACCGGGCCCGGGGCGTCGGGGTCCGGGCCGGGAGAGGAGCGCGGTGGGGGTGCCAAAGCATCGCGCTGGCGCGGGCGGCAGAACCGCGAAAAGCGCTTCACGTTCGTGCTGGCCGTGGTCATCGGTGTGTTCGTGGTATGTTGGTTCCCCTTCTTCTTCACCTACACGCTCATAGCGGTCGGCTGCCCGGTGCCGTACCAGCTCTTCAATTTCTTTTTCTGGTTTGGCTACTGCAACAGCTCTCTGAACCCGGTCATCTACACCATCTTCAACCATGACTTCCGCCGCGCCTTCAAGAAGATCCTTTGCCGCGGGGACAGAAAGCGGATCGTGTGAACGCGCAGCCAGCGACCGGCTTACAGACTCGCACCCAACGCAGGCCCTGGGCATTGAGGGGTGCATCTAAGCATGCAGCCCCAGCACTCTGAAAACCAGGACTTGCCTGCTCCGTGCGTTTTCTGACTTGGCAGGAGCTCAGTGGCCTCCTGCGGGCACCTTCTGTTCTTACATGCCAAAAAAGTTCTGGCTGAGGGCCACATACACCCTCTATTGTTATTATGGCTGCTTCAGACCCACAGCCATTTTCGGGGTGGGCTACCCCTAATCAGTATTGTTTCCGAATGATATTGTCACCCTCTTCCCTAATTCGGCTTCAGAGCAAGCACAGCACTAGAGGGGGCATGACTGCCAAAGGGTTAATGAATGGCTAATTGCCTCCCTCAAAAAACCATTCAGGTCAACCCTGCCAGCCCTTCCCATCCTTACTGTAAATACACACTATTTTTGATAACACACTTTGGAGTCCTCAATGTTGGCCTTGGTGTGATGTTGAAATCCTGGCTATGAAGATGCTGTCCAGGCCAACACAGACACTGGATAATGTGGTCCAGGCCAAGCTCCTTTGCAATGCAAACCCATTTCTAGTGTTAACATGTCGCTGTGTCCTTTTCACCAGTAACTGGTGACTGTCCCTCAGACATGGACTTGCTTTGAGATTTCCTGACAGGGAAAAGATTTCTGTTCATTTTTTTCCTGTGCCTAACAGCATAATTGCCTTTTCCTATGTAAATATTACAGCAATGGACCAAGGCAGAAGGAAATGAACCTTTCCGCCTTGTATCAGCCCTGTGTATAAAGCCATTATCCTCTGAGGCACCGTTTACCCCAGTAACTCACTTTAAAACTGACTTTAAAACTGGTGTCCCTCCCTCCTCAGAGACCACTGCTTGAAGAACATGTATGTTTCTATCTTGTATGTGTGTCAACTCCTCACCCTGTGAAAGTGCTGACTAAGGGGAAATCTTTTAGCTGCTGTTTTTAGAGACAGAGAAGTGGAAATTATGTGGAAGAAGCAAACCTGATACAATTTGTCCAAGGTAAACAGTTTGAGAAGACAAATGGGCCAGCCTCACTGTACAGCTCCAGCCCCAAGAGCTCTTAGGTATCAAAGTATTGCCCTTCCCCCCTGCTTTTCTGGCTGAGATCACTTCACTAATGAATTGCCAAAGTCAGGGAGGAGGCGGAGACTTTGTGTTTACAACCGGGTTTATACATGTTTCAGACAGACAATGTGCTCTGATTTCACTAAAGAAAAACTGTCAGCACATGTTGCTCATGACAATGGATTTTTAAAAAATAAAGTTTACAGATCAAATGTGAAATAAATAATTAAATGGTCCTCCTGTCTGTCATTTAAGTTTTCAAAAGACTTAGGACTCTAGGATTATCTGATTTCACACATATTGTAAGATTTTATTATTATTATTTTGAGACAGGGTCTCCCTGTAGCCCCAGCTGGCCTGGAACTCGATATGTAGACCAGGCTGGCCTTGAATTCACAGAGCTCTGCCTGACTCTGCCTCCTGAGTGCTTGGATTAAAGGCATGTGCTACCACGCCCAGGAGCAATAACAAAACTACCATTCTTGATGTTCTTGACATGCTGGCCTCTGTGTGTGCCTATTGTAGGTACCATGTTCTTTAATCTTTCTAAGGACCTTATGAGCTAAATCATATTGTTATCCCTATTTTTCAGGTAAAGAAACTGAGCACAGCTCAAGTGACTTGCTCAGGTTAATAGCTATGTAAAAACATAATCTAGTTTTATCTGGTTTGAGGTTCTGTGCACTTAACTTGAGACTTTCCAGAGTTAAAGGGTTGACACTCTCAGAATATACTGACCTGTACACACAATGTGGGTATCCCAAGTGTGTAGACAGCATGTGCACATACCCAAAAGTGTCTTTATGTCCAAACCTATGTGCATGTCTCAAAGTGTGTATCTTCCCCAAAGTGTGGTATGGATATCTAACATCTCCAAATTGTGCATCTTATGGTAAAGTGTACTAATAGACAATGTGGTATATACTCCAAAGCAGGGTTCAAGCACCTAAATGTGTTAGTTGATAGCTTGAACAGGCAAAAGAGATGCATCCTTTTGCCTGTCTCTAATGCCAGTATCTTTCCTGCTGCCTCTGATGGTTCAAGACCCTCATCCTATGGTTATAGCACTTTAAAGCCAGGGAGGGTCTGAGAGATTTGAGAATCTTACCTCTCACACCACAGCTGAGGAGGTGGGCCAGTGACAGAGCTCTGGTCTTAATCTACCTGAGTTAGGAAGCTGCTGAGCCATATGTATGACTGTGAGGAAGGTCTTCCTCTGTGGCTATGTGGAGAGACACTTGTCAGGCACTTGAAGGGCAAATAAAAATGACAGGATGTGGTTTTGGAGGACAGCAGACTTTGTAGGTCCAGCTTTGTATGGTTCAGAGGCAAGTGACAAGTGCCCTCTGGACATGCATGTAGCTTCATGACTTTTAACTTCTTTGATGAAGGTGAAGGCATGTGTGTGCAGGAGTGGGATGGTTGGTGGCCCTGGGAGGAGACCTGGGCAGACACTGAGGAGCTTGGAAGAGGAAGACAAGGGGATTTCAGAGGAGTTCTCTGCTACTGTGGTCATCTGGGTCCTCCAAGCCCACAGATGGGAGGATAGGCAGGCACTTGGCTCTAGTGACTTTTGTTCCGGGGTTTCACAAATCACCCTGCTGGCCTGTATCATCAAGACTGGTCCTAGTCTGGCACTGAGACCTGCTCCTACCCTTCCTTTCTCCAGTCTCCAATCCCTCTCTATCCTAGGGCACCCATTGCCCCAAAGGCAAACAGTGCCAGACAATAGGCCAGCCTGGCAGGCTTCCAGGACCAGGACTGTGTGTCACTGGCACAAGGACAGATAGACACACAGTGCACCATTGGCTCTGTTCTACCCTGCCTGCTGGGGAAATGTTTGCCTTGCCTGTACCTCCAGAGGTCAGTTGCTGCCTAGAGGAAGAAATGTAGACAGTGGTGTGTGAGCAGAGTCTAGTATCAGGGTACCTCCCATTTACTAGAGAAGCAGAGAAGCCGCAGAGATGGCTACACTCTATGAAAAGGGAACGCAAAGGCTGGAGCCAGGCTGGGCTGTTGGGTTTCTAAATTCACAGTAGGACTCACTGTCCATTTTAAAGGGCACAAGCAGAAATTTGCAAAGGTGTAGGACAGGGAATGGAGCAGAAAGAAATTGCTCCTGCAGGGATCTTAGCATGAGGAGCAACCGATGGGACTATGACTCCACACCTTCCTTTCCATAGCACCTGCTTCCTGTTGTTTGGGCAAAGAGAGTTGCTGTGTGGATGAATCTCCTGCTTTATCCAACTTTGCTTGGACCTTGCCAGATTCATTCCTGCAAGGACAATGGGTTTGCAGAGGGTAGGGCTCTCATTTCACCTTGGCTCCTCACATGGCCCCTTCTTTTGAGGCTTTGTTCAAGGGCTCAGGTGAGATGATGAAAATGTGGTTTATTCAGGCTTTCCCTTCTCTCTGACTCTTTTTTTTTCCTTTCAAAATTGGCTGTAAATTTCTTTTTCAGGTAACTTTTTTTTCTTTTTTTATTATTTTATTTAAAAAATTTTAATAACTACATGATTAGAAGAAGCATTTCATTACAGCTTTAACATATCCAAAAACACTCTCCAGAGCAAGAGTACATCTCTTTCACAGTGGCTGTAAGTTTCTGGGTTCACAGTTGAATTAATACAGTTAATTCAGTATAAGCCCTGTAAGACATAAAATTGAATGAGTTTTTAACCTTTAAAAAAGATCTCCATTTCATTTTAGAATATATTGTTCCTTGCAGAAAGACTCATTGTTTTCGCTACTAACACTGAGATGTTGGTACATGCATCTCTAATCTGTACGTATCTATTGCTAGTCATAATTGGTTGTACTTGGATCCTTGGTGCCTGTGTATGTTTATAAAGTTAAAGGGTAGATTTCAGTGGTGATGCTTATTACCTCTACTAATTAACATGACATAAATTTCCATGCTTCCTTCTCAAATATAATACATTTTTAAAATTTGTTGATTTTTTTTTTGGTGTGTGTATCACACAGAACATCCCAAACCATCTTATTCAACTATACACCCACTTCCCAGATGGCACCCTCCCATAGCCTCCCTCCCCCCATATTCTGAGCCCTATCCCTGCTACTGTCTGCTGTGTTGTTGGCACCCCTAGCCATTCCCCACTACTTGTCCATCTGGTGAATCTAGTCAGCCTATCTAGAGGTCTTTGTTTTAGGAAGGTCAGCTCTTCCTCATCTAGTAGCAATCAGTTGTCAATATTCCTTTAGATAAGATTGAGGTCTGCTGTTCTATGCTGGGTTACTATCTGGGAGTCCCTTTGGCTACCTTGGCCAACGACTCAAAAGAAGGTATCTCCTATCTGGCATTGTTGCTTGTAATGTAGCCTTTATCTATACATATGGACTCTTAAGAAATTATATTGGCCCGTTTATTCTTTGGTTATACTTTCCTTTTGGGTGTTTAAGGTCATACAGTTGACCCAGACAAACCAATTTATTTTTACTCTTAAGGATGGAGGGGCAAGAATGCAAGAGATTAACAATGCCTAGTTAGTTTTGAAAACCAGAGGGTACCGTATTACTCCTTCAACCTACTGACAAATTGTACATTGCAGATCAAGAAATACATATGTCTAGGCAGTTTATCTGAGAACAACTGGTCTTTGCCCAAATTTTATCTGTATGACACACAGTAATTAAAAGTACCAGATGGGTGGAACTAACCTTCTTGGGTGTTTAACAGACATACTTTGAGGCCTATAATAATTTGGTCAGAGGGACATAAAGGACAGTTTTTGCTCCTTGCCCTCCGGTCGACTAGTTCCAGGGGACTATGAGTATCTCTCAAAATGTCCAGTAATTGTGGTGGGTCACCTGTCCTCTTGATCAAGGAGGCTGAGGAGACCCCACCAGATGGACTTGAACCAGTGTCCAGTCTACAAAGAGGAGGGTCAACACAGATGAATCATTTCCTCCATGCTTCCAAGCGAAGCCAACCATGGTCGAGCAGGACCTTTGACTTATCATCACATAGGCAGAACTGGTAAAAGAAAGGAGCCAGGGGCTCCTCCCAAGCCCATGTGACCCCTGAGGAACAGATCCTGAAACAACCTCCCTGACTCTTAATTCAACCAGAGTTTGGAAAGCCAGATGTGGTCTCAACATCCTTAGTTCCCACATTGCTTGACCAGAGAAACTCAAATTCTGGCAGCATCCCCAGACTCCCTCTATCCCATTCCTTCCAAGGCTTCTCTGTCTGGTACCATAGATCTCCTCACACATTCTGTTTGGTTGTAAGATATAGAGAACTACACCCACTCTGTACATTCTTGGCATTCAGAGCCACCCTAGGCACTGTGAGGCAGACTGACTGAAGGGACACCACAGGACAGGTGGCTCTGTTTCTAGCAGCTGAGCTGACAGACCAGTGTCAGGCAGTGGTACCTGGGTCCTGCTCAGACCTTGCCTTTCATTTCTCCAGCCTGTTCTTGGTGGTGGCAAGCCAGCTTTTGTCCCCACTCAGGGAATCTGTCAGGAAGGTTTTCTTCCTGATCCAGGATGCCATGGCTCTGATCACTCCAGAGCCAGGGCTATCTCAATGGCAGGCTTGCCCTCAGGCCTTTACCCTGGGCCTTACCAACCCCAAGGTGGGTCTGAGAGTCTAGGGTACAGAACAAGCCCCATTCTTAACAGAGATTGTTCCTGCAATGGGAGCCAGGCCATAGCACTGCACATAGTTACAGACACAAGAGTTTGCTTTGGAAACAGCATTGATCCCTTCAGTTACTGGAAATCCTGAGGTTTAGAGTGTGATCCAGAAAAGGGAATGTGGCCCATTGGAAAGTGGGGGCAACAAGGGTATCAGGAAGCTTCTAGTCCCAGTTTTGCCATTTACCAGCTGTGTGACCTTGAGTTTGTCTCTTTGAGGGACTTTTGAAAGGAAACTCATTGGTTGGTCTAGTGTCGTTTAGAAGTATATTCTATGGAGTTAGGTAAATCTATCTCTAGCTTATCTGTCTGTCCATCTATCTATCACAGATCCATCATTTTTTATCTATAGAATCCATCTTTCATTACTTCTCATCCATATTTCATTTATCTAGTGACCTTTAGCAGGCCTGTTTGGTGACTTGGTGTGCTGTGTTTCACAAACTGTAGAGCTTCCTATTTTATAGAGTACCTCTGAACACAGTGAGTCATGGTTACTGGGACATTTGTGCAATCTTGGGCCAAGGGATCTTGGGCTTGTTCTGTTGACCCATT